GCTCAAAAAACTACAAAAAAGGAGAATTTTTTTGAGACTGTTCTTCTTTTCCACGCACTCGAGCATTATATTAATATGGCTACAAGGTAGGTTGTTCTTGTCCTCAAAATTTTTTTTATTTTTGATTTTGGACCTCTAGACAATTACGAAAAAAGTGGGCGTAGGGAAGGGGGAGGGGGTGGCATAATAAGATACACGACAGATGATTTATTATAAATGCTGAATAATGACGAGAATTTCAATAATGCATTCACGTCATCAGCGTCTGGTTTACTGAGAGTGATGTTTGATGCATATATATTTTTAAAAACCTTCTATTGCGGTGGTTAGGTGAAATTTTCTCACTTCAATACTCGATGTAGTGTCTTTGCGGTGACGGCAACATTTGCGCGTAGAAATCACCATGGGCTTTCTCGAGCGTTTATTTTTCGTTTGGCCTACAGTTGGCAGCTCTGACGTTTGATATAAGTGCCATTGCGGTGGCGCAATACTTGCGCGTAATCGATGACCATTGCGCGAATTTTCCAATGTTTGCGTGCCATGCTCATTTTGAACGCGCAAACGTTGTCATCACCGCAACAACACTATATTGAAGCGAGATACGAACGAGGCGCAAAATTTGAGCTCTGAAGCAAAAACTACGCAAGTATCTTCGCTTTGTTTGTCAATTATGCTGTAATTCATTTATCGCTTTTTTCACAGCCAAAGTCTCCTTCTAAAATTTTCTGGAGTTTGCACTTGTTGGAAGGGTGAAAAAAATAATTTTAATTGAATTAGCGCCAATTACAGCAGAATAACTTTCGACCCTATTCGCCTCTTATGCCCCTTTTCATCAAAAGCGGAATATGCTTTAGACCATTTCCTCTTACAAGTTCCCTTCCCTCCCCATTTCCTTTCTTTCCAACGTTTTAAACCTCATTTGTTTTTGTCTACTAGCGAATCCATAAACATTCGTCTCTATCCCATTGTTCCCAACGCACAACACTTTTCATATGTCGGCTACAATTGCCACTCTCATCCCGTGGGGATTACATCCTAAGAAAAAGAAAACACAATGGATCCTGACATCTGTTGTGAAGCAGTTTACTTGGAAAGTCTCATGCTTTACAGCCAACGCTGCAACTATGACTTTTGCGAAATTAACTATAAAATTTCAGATATTTTATCGTAGCTGTAGAGTTATTTATTTATTGATTGAATTCGTTCCAATGCAGTAATGCATAAAAATGGGAGCAAAAATATTAGGTCATTCTGAAAGTAATTTCGCTTTTTTCAAATGGACGCCACATGTGATGGAATTAACATTTCAAGGAGACCTTGGAAGCATTCGATGCAGCATTTCATCCACTATCTAACAGTAATGAAAACGTTGCAGTAAGATCAATGAGCTTTCGGAAAATAACGAAAATCTACGACTCATGCTTTTTGAGATGGTCAAGTTTCACAATTTTTTAAAACTTTCATATCACTGCTGAGAAGTAGTTCAAATAACGATTAGATAGAGCAAACCTTATAGGATACGGCACAGCTTTTTTCTCTTTTTCATAGCTCGCCGTAATTTTTTTAAAGGTTTTTCACCAAAGCCATCGGATTTTGGGCCTAAGTCAGTCACAATCGCATCAAACATCAGTAAGTACTCGGAATTTGAAGCTTCCAAGATGATATATGACTTAATGTTGATTTTATAAAGCAAATGAGAGCCTCTGTATTCGAAATACTGAACTTCGAGTTTTTCGGGTACAGCTTTGAGCGCGTTCAAAAACATGAGTTAGGACGATTTTTTCCCCGAAGATTGAACAAGTCGGAAACAAAAAACACCTATTAGAAAGAGGAGAAAAAGCTGCGTCAAGCAGCACCCAAGCTGCTCTCTTACTGATGTACTACGAGATTTATGTTGACCAAGTATGAAAATTGGTAGCATCAGTTGAAATTTTATTTAAAAAATTTGAGGAGAATATGAAGAAGAAAAAAATTAATTTGTATCCTGTAGCGTTTGCTCTATCTAATCGTTACTTGAACTCCTTCTGAGGGTTGAAATGAAAGTTTTGAAAGATTGTGAAACTTGACAATCTCAAAAAGCATGGATCGCAGGTTTTGAATATTCTCCGAAAGCTCAATGATTGAACTGCGACGTTTTCACCACTGTTGAAAAGAGGATGAAATGCTGCATCGAGTGCTACCAAGATCTCTTAGAAAACACTTTTCCTTCAGATGTAGCGCCCCTTTAAAAAAAGCGAAATTATTAGGTTGGTCCGAAAGTTCTGTCCCACCATTTTCAAAAAATCATAACATCCTCCTAACATGATGTTTTTGCATGTAAAAACCTTTTTGGAAAGAGCAATTCATGCACTTTCTAAAACTGCTTTGGGTGCTATCTACTAGGCTCTGAATGCATAGATAAAATTGGGAAAAGGAAATTACTTCAAGTTTGGAATTTTTAAGCAAGCCCGCTGAAAAATCCAAAACTGTGCCATAAAATCCAAAACAGCCACTGTTTTAGACTTTTTGACCCCCTATTTCTAGCTGAGCAAAATTCGCGCTGATAGAACTGTTACTTTGAAAGTTATGATTTTTTGAAAAAAATGTCAAAAAATCAATTTTCTTAAGAAACAGATTTTTTGGCATTTTTTCTCGAAAATCATAATCTTTCTAAGAAAGGCTCGATTAGCGCGAGTTTTGCTCACATAGAAAGAAGAGACAGAAAGCCTAGGGTAGTGGTTGTTTTGGATTTTATGGCACGGTTTTAGATTTTTTAACGGGCCTGCTTAAAAATCCAAACTTGAAGTGATTTTCTTTTCCCAATTTTTTCGCTGCAAACAGAGATTATGGACGGCAGCCAAAGCAGTTTTAGAAAGTGCATGAATTGCTCTTTCCAAAATGGTTTTATCTATGCAAAAACATCATGATAGGAGGAAGTTATGATTTTTTGAAAATGGTGGGACAGAACTTTCGGACCAACCTGATACATTCGGAAAGACCTAATAGTTTATTTTCAGATCATTTACAGCGATCAAAAAGTTACCTAGTTATTTGAATTCGTTCCATTGAGCATTGTGTAAAAAGGGAGCAAAAAAACCAGCACAATTATAAAAAAGCAATATACGTATCTTTTACCCTTTAATATGCAGTTGGCTTAAAAGAGAAAGAACTCTGAGCAAAAGAAATTTGCCAAAAATATTTTTGTTCAGATTTGAAGTTCATGGAGTTTTTTTCACTGCTGTATCACATTGAGTTCTGAATGATACATAGTGACCGATTATCTCCACACATCAAGATACTCTGCCCTTTTATAGTCACATAAACCATGATATAGAGAAAAAGCGACGATGTGACTGACTTGCTTTGCATAATCTTTCATACATTATCCAAAAAAATGCGAGCGAGTAAAATGAATGTGATAATTTCATGCGATAAACCTATCCAAAATCAAATGAATCAATTATACATATTAAATGTAAGATTATATGTCACTAATTATCAAAATTCAACTTGTCAAAATTCGATGGTTCACATTACTTTCAATTCAAAAATTCAAAAAACAAAATGTTCCGACTCAATGGGGACCCACAAACGTCGTTCGCCTTCCATAACCCGTCCTCTAACAAGTTCAGGCTCCACAGAGTAGCTTTCCGAAAATGCAACAAAGGAAGTCCCCTTTAACCCAAAACCATAAACTTAAAAGCCCTCAAAGAACGAAACGTCGAGTAAAAAAGTCATTTTTTGGCCACAAAGACCGTATCCCCTTTGCTTTTTGTCCCAAAAACGAATTTAGGCTTATAAGCCACCTCTGCCAAACTCTGCGCGTTTCGCAGCCTCTTAATCCGCAAATTCTTACAAAAGTTAGCTGATCAAACCTAATGAGAAACCACAATGATCGTTCGACATTCGTCCCCCACTCTCCCCCCCCCATGTTGGTTCACCTGCAGTTTCGCCTCAGGACCAGAACTGCGAACGTTACTTGAGGATAGAGGAAGTATGATGACGTCTGCATCCTGTCTCAGACACTCAACAGGAAATGTGTGCATGTGACGCTAGCGAATAGGAAATGCTTTTGCAACGTTAAAGAAGTTTCTTCAACATTAAAAATAGAGAAATTACTTCTTTCTGTTTCCTTGGTATCTCAAAGATCTTTGGAGATAAAGGGTACAGAATCGCTTCTCTAAATTTCTTGCTTAATTTCAATTTTTTTGCAAGCTTTTAACTCCAAAATTTCAAGAAAAAATCTCAAAAATCTCTCTTGTGAGGCGATCAACTTACAGAAGAAATGATTGCATTAGCTCATCTCTAGTTCTTTTATGACTTCAAAATTTCAAGAAAGGCCAATTTTTTTCATTGTTCAATTCAAATTAGTAGAATCGTAATTATTTTGATCAAAATGTTTGCTGAATAAAAGTATTGCATATTTATGACTAGCACAAATTGTACATAGTTTCGAAAAACTCAAAAAGTAAGCCAAATATTTTTCAACATACACAAACTACTAATTATATGAGATCTATAAAATTGCTTTGATGAAAATCAAACAGCTGTTTATTTATGACTTGACCTAAACTTTTGTTAAAAATTCCATTTTTCGAGACGGACCTCAAGAAGATCAGAACATAATCCAGTTTTTATGAAATCTATGAAAATCTCAATTGCTTAAAAAAAGTTATCCGTACACTTTAACAACTACGTACCATTCTCTCCCCCTCCCCCCCCCCCACCCACAGCCCTCCCTTTATTTCATTCTTAATTCTGCAGAAAACATGAATAAGCGCATTCAAAACGAAATTCATGACTTCCCACGAGTAAATCCCCATATGAATAAGGCTGTTTGAGAAATCCCAGATAGTCAGTAGAATGGCTAATATGGCCATTTTGACGTCAATAGCCTGAATGAGTTCCGCTGAGGCGTAAGGAAAAAGAGATAAATTATGGAGGGAAAAAAGAAAATTGCATGAGATGAGAGAGAAGAAGAATATGAAGTTAAAAAAAGAAAAAAGGAAAAAGAAACTGACCCGTGTTGAAGAGGTGGATGGTTGTTCGACGAGACGACGTTCCTCGTCGTCAGTAGACGATGCGTTCGACGAACCACCTCCTCCGAAGAACATTCGTCCTCGTAACCAATCCATTTCCTTATATTATTCGATGTAGCAAACGCTCCTGTAAAGTGCAAATTCTGTGAATGCACAAACCCATAACCGGACGGCAAAACCGCGAATGAATACGAGCCCCACAGCAGCAATAAATTATAACGATCATAGAATTTAGAGGTTTCTGGCAATGAATCATCGGATTATGATGGCGCAGTTCGAATATGTGTAGTGGAATACGACGAACAGTTCTAGACTCCATTAGAATGACTGACAGCCATCAAGTTCATAGAATGGGCTGTCGAAGCAGCGAAAAAATAAATGTTCGGAAAGAACAACACAAGAGAAAAGAGAGAAGACGTCTGTGGCAGATCATTCGTCTGCTAGTACACACACGTTTCGGCGCAATAAATTCAACCTTGATCCAAGTTCACTCAAACTGAGCGAAAAAAGTATAAAAGAAAAAATTGAAAAAAGAAGCGATGGAAGACTGAAAAAAAGCGATTGAAGTGTAGAAACAAAAACTTTTTTTATTCATCAAAAAGTAATAAGAATGAAAAAGAAATGGTCCGTGAATGAAGTGAAGGCCCAAGTTAGATTAAGAGGGCTGAAAAAGGAGCTTATATGTTTCGATGACTGTGGCAAAGGGATCCAGCTGTATCTCGCCCAGTACCGTACTGTCCTGTGAGACCATCTTCGATTACGGTACTGGGCAAGATTACAGTCGAAATGGACAGTGCCTTCAAAGTATGAGTGAATATGCATGTGGTCAAAGTGAACGCGAAAAATTGGGTGAGTAAATGAAGCGATTTGGATAAAGTAAAATAAGGTGAAGGGTCAGGGTGGTAAATAAATCGAGAAGAAATAGTTGTATAAAGAAATGAGATCAAAAAGTGTGAGGAAGGAATAAAATGTGACTGTATGAATGAGGGAATGAATATGTGAATGGGTAAATGAAGGAAATGAATAGGTAACAGATAAATGAATAAACCGATGAGTGAACGAGGAGAATGGAATGAATGAAAGAATGAAATAAAAACGTCGATCAATTGCAGGACATGATAAAGACTGACTGTAAACGAGATAACATGGGAGATGTGGTAAGGACCTGAAGGCTCCATCCTAAAAGGGGCGTGAGGGGGGGGGGGAGGCGAAATTTTTGGTAACATAAAAACTCTGAACGATGGAGCTTATAACAATCATCGCCAAGTTCTGTTGAACTCCAAGCAGGGTCAAAAATATTTTTGCACTCGGATGAAACTGCTGTCCAGCTATTTTCGTCAATTTCAGCCATTAAAAGGGATTCGATAGATGAAGACTACAAAAAAGTACAGATTTAGACAATGATATTGTTAGCGATAACAGTTTCATATAAGACATTACACAGCTAGACCCCCGTGTTATCTACGCGGACATCTGCCACAAACTATTGTTGTAGAGCTGTTCAGTGTCAATAGAACTCGCTCATTATTGATAGCTAAGGCTGAGGTGACCTAGGCGGCTGCGGCGTACCCGCCGCACCTTGATTATGTTTACGTGTTGTTATTGCATTGATCCTAGTGAACCCGCGGCATATACGCCTATGTGTATAAGGGGAATCTTTGTGTTTTTCTAATAAATCGTCAACGGCTCAACGCGTTCCACAACAACTGGCGATCAGGATCAAGGACAAGAAGACCTCCACCGACCAAGGACCGGAAGAAGCTCCACCGACCGAGGACCAACAGCCCGACCGAGGACGAGCAGCCCCCCAATCAAGGACAAGAAGAAGTGCTGCAGCTCAGTTCAAGCTGGGAAGCTGCTACCGGTCGAGGACAGCCAGACAAGTAAGCATTGCAAGGAATTTGATTTAGCAGAAGAACTCGTCGACACTGAAGAGTTCTACCATGCCGAAAGCCAGTGAAGAGCGGCATGGCCATGACTCTTTGGAGAAGGTCCTGTCGGTCATGGTCGAACAAATGCGAATTCAACAGGAGGAGATGAAGCTGCAAAGGCAACTTCAACAGGAGCAGCAGATGCAATTGCAAGCTCAGCAGGAGCAGATGAAGGAGCTAATTACCGCCTTAGCCAGTAAGCAGGGAGCCGTTCAAGATGCCAGCAAAGATCAATACGATCAGCTGAGCAAGGAAGTGCAACGATTTGTCTCGGACGAGGAGACAGGTAACACGTTTGCATACTGGTACGGCAGGTATGGACCTATAATTCGCGACGCCCAGCTGCCGGATCACAAGAAGCGCGACTTGATCCTCATGAAGCTGGACGAAGAATCATATCGGAAGTATGCAGATGAGGTCTTACCTGCGAAACCACATGACTTGGACTTCGACACCACCATCGCGAATCTTCAGAAGCTATTTGCCTCTAAGAAGACCCTCATCAGGAGAAGGTACGAGTGCCTGAGGATAGCCTGTCCGCCGCTTACACCAACGTGCGTACCATTTCGCGAATACGCTAACACTATCAAGCGGATGGACGAAGACGCTCGACTCAAGGAGCTGGATTACACGGCAATGAAGACGTTGCAATTTGTAGCAGGTCTTCAAGATCCCTCGCTCAGGGAAGTTCGCCTTCGGATGATTCGTCGACTGGACGCCCACAAGGACGAAGTACCGCTAACAATCGAAGACCTGGTCACGGATTGCGAAAATTTCACTGCTTTGAAAGTGGATAACACGGACATGGAAGGCACTCGCGACGTCCATGCTGTATGGAAGAAAAAGGTAAATTGCTTCATATGCGGAGGACCACATTTCAGAAGAGACTGTCCACAATCTGACAACAGTCGAAAGAAGCGGCGGAAGACGGGAACCCATGTGAGCCGCAGGCGACAGTGCAAAAATGTGGTCGTTTTCGACGCCGAGAAGGCGCGGACTTATATCGACGTCGTAATCAGAGGATGTTCCCTCAAGCTACAGCTAGACACAGGTGCGGATATAACCCTGATTTCGCGAAGAGCCTGGAAGAGGATGGGATCCCCTGCTCTGGAACCCTGTGTGTTGCCCGTGAAAACTGCCGACGGGACGACGATGCAGATCGACGGTAAATTCTCGACCGATTTTAAGGTCAAAGATCGAGTTACAGGTAAAACCGTTCATGGAAACGGAGTTTGCTACGTCACCGAAGGCTCGAATCTATTAGGATTGGAATGGTGTATCCAATTGCCGGCGTACAAGAAGCTGAAGGACAACTACAACTGCAGAAAGGTGACTAGCGAGGAGAAACTTCGAGCCGAAGTCGTCGCCGATTTGAAGAGGAAATATGCAGAAGTCTTCAATAGCGACTTGGGAAAGTGCACGAAGAGCAAGGCCAAGCTAGTCTTGAAAAGCGATGCTGTGCCAGTCTTCAAGAAGAAGAGGCCAGTTCCATACGCCACGGCACCAGAACTGGAGGCAGAAATTGATCGGCTGGTTGCCGAAGGAGTTATTTCTGCTGTAGAACACTCAGAGTGGGCCGCGCCGATAGTCGCCGTCAAGAAGAAAAATGGCAAGATCCGTCTGTGCGCCGACTTCTCGACAGGACTTAACGATGCATTGCAGCTGCATCAGCATCCATTGCCCACTGCGGAGGATGTGTTTACAAAGCTCAATGGAGGCCAGCTTTTCACTCAACTCGACCTAGCAGAAGCCTATTTGCAAGTGGAAGTCGAGGAAGCATCAAAGGAGATGCTCACTATCAATACACACAAAGGATTATATCGCTATAATCGATTTCCATTCGGAGTGAAATCGGCACCAGGCATATTTCAACAGATCATGGATTCCATGATAAGCGGACTTGATGGAGTAGCCGCTTATCTTGATGACATCATCATCACGGGGAGGAGTTATGAAGAACATCGCCAGAATCTGGAAGCCTTGTTTAAGAGAATCAAGGATTACGGATTTCACGTCAGGTTGGAAAAATGCAACTTTCTCATGCCAGAGATTTGTTACTTAGGTTGCATCATTGACAAAAATGGACGCCGGCCGGATCCAAAGAAGATTGAAGTTATTCAGCAAATGCCAGCGCCGAAGAACATAGCGGATGTTCGATCATTCCTCGGGATGATCAACTACTATGGATTGTTCGTAGCCGAGATGCGCCAGCTTAGAGCACCCTTGGACGCATTGCTCAAGAAGGACGCAAAGTTCGAATGGACGGAGGAATGCCAAAACGCATTCAAGCGTGCCAAAGAAGTCTTAGCCTCCGATTTACTCCTCACACATTTCGATCCTGACTTACAGATAGTGGTAGCTGCGGACGCGTCAGACTACGGAATCGGGGCTGTTATTCTGCACAAGATGCCAGATGGGACAGAAAAGGCTATCTGCCATGCAAGCCGAAGCCTCACAGCCGCCGAAAAGAACTACGGACAAATTGAAAAGGAAGGACTAGCATTGGTTTTCGCAGTCCGTAAGTTCCATCGGTACATATACGGACGCCGATTCAGATTGCTCACCGATCACAAGCCGCTGCTACACATCTTTGGACCAAAGAAGATGGTGCCAGTGTACACAGCGAACAGGTTGCAACGATGGAAACTCATTCTACTCGCATACGACTTCGACCTGGAGCACCGCAAGACAACCGAATTTGGACAAGCCGATGCACTGTCTCGACTGATCCCTCCAAGGCCATTCCAAACCGAAGACGTCGTCATAGCGAAGATAGAAGAAGAGGTGCGAGCTGTTCAAGCCGCTGCTGTACGAGCGTTACCAGTAACCCGGAAGAATATTGAAGAGGAATCTCGTAAGGACGAAACCATTGCGCAGGTCATACGAATGCTGCAATCAGGAGCATGGCCGTCCAAGCCGAAAGAAGAAGTCCGAAATTGGAGAGCACTGAGGGAGAATTTATCAGTGCAAAACGGATGCTTGTACTTCGCCCACAGAATAGTCATTCCAGCTTCGCTGAGACAGGCGGTTCTGAAGCAGTTACACGAGGGACACCCTGGAATGACAAGGATGAAGATGCTCGCGAGAGGATTCGCATATTGGATGGGCATCAACAGAGAAATTGAAGACTCAGTGCGCCGCTGTAGGGATTGTCAAGAAGCCTCC